AACCTTATTGTAAAGTGGTACCTTTAAAAAAAATTACATTACAAGTGTTAAAACATGTGACTGGTAAAATGTAAACACCATACCATAACCAGTGCTTTGAGTGCTAGGATGTTAAATACTTGGCCCCTCTATGAATATTGGGGCCCCTTGATGGCCCCTTACTCAAAAAAATCCTAGATCAGCCACTGCCCTGCAGGCTTCACAGAACCAGAACCTCTTCCTTCCATCAGTTGCTAAAACCCAGGTCAGTGACCTGTCCATGGGAAACCTGGACAGGTCCCTAATAAGAGATCATGTAGCATCCACAGAGAGGCTTCAGGCCGTCTAACCACTGCTCCACCATGTCGCTGCTGCCAGAAAACAACTCATTAAAACACTTTTTGTTCAGACAACAAGCAACAGTAACTGTTGTCTGAAAGTTCAGCTGGGATCAGTTAGTGGATCAGAACCTAAACACTTTGAGACCTTCAGTTTCACACAGACAAACCTCTGAACGGTTTTTATTTACAGCTTCTCCTGCAGCCAAGCAGCTGCTGGTGTCTGACGAGACCGAGAGGACCATGAGGGTCACCTGGACCCCAGCTCCAGGAAACGTGCTCAACTACCGGCTGAAGTACGTCCCCGCAGCCGGAGGCAGAGAGATGGTCCTGAAGGTCCCCGGGTCCGTGTCCTCCACCGTCCTGAAGCGCCTGCAGCCCGTCACCACCTACAGCCTCACGCTCCAACCCATCTACAAACACGGGGAAGGAAAAGCAAGGCAAGGAGTAGGAACCACACGTACGTTGGTCCGTCCTTCACCTGTCTGAGGCTTGTCCCCTTCAACTGTCTGAGAGACATGGCCCCCTTCACCTCTCCGAGACACGTCCCCTTTCACATGTTATCAGTACACTGCAGAGACATGTCCACCTTCTGTCTGTCCTCACACTTCAGAGACACGCCCCCCTTCTGTCTGTCCTCACACTGCAGAGACACGCCCCCTTTCTGTCTGTCCTCACACTTCAGAGACACTGGACTAAATGAATCTGATGTTTGATCCTTTGGACTTCAGAATAAAGAAGTGGAGCTTCTCGGAGCGAGTTTGTCCTGACGTTCTGCTGCTTTTTTCTTTCAGTGTCGCCTTACAAAGCTCCCAGGAACCTGCAGACCTCAGAGCCCACCAAGACCAGCTTTAGGGTCTCCTGGGACCCTGCACCTGGAGATGTTAGGGGCTACAGAGTGACCTTTCACCCCACAGAGGATGATGTGGACCTGGGGGTGCTCCTGTTGGGTCCATATGATAACACTGTGGTTCTGGAGGAGCTCAGGTAAAAAGCAACAAAAAGTTCAGAAAGTTTGAAATAAAAATAGCTCACAGGTTGTTTTCAGTCTGAAAGAAACCATCTCTGAGGAACGGAATTGTCCAAAGGGTCCACTTCACTGGGTCCACAGACCTAGTGAAGGCAGATCTCCTGTTTAGCTGCTTATAGAGTTTTCAGAATCAAAAAGTAGAATCTATTTAAGACTGCTTAGATCTCCCTGAGTCCAGTAACAGAGACTGAACCGGTCTCCTGCTCTGGACAGATGGACAATGGATATTATTTTGTTGTCCACCAGCCACCCACATTGTAGATTTAGAACCACAGAGAATGCTAGGAGACAAGTTAGAATGTCTCTCATGAACCGTTTGACTACTAGTGTCCATTTAACTAGTCTCAGCTAGTCTCCAACTAGCCTCCAACAAGTCTCCAAAACCTAATTTCAGCTAGTCTCCAACTAGCCTCCTACAAGTCTCCAAAACCTAATTTCAGCTTGTCTCCAACAAGTCTCCAAAACCTAATCTCAGTTAATCTGCAACTAGTCTGCAACTAGTCTCCAACTAGTCTCCAAAACCTAATCTCAGCTAGTCTCCAACTAGCCTCCAACAAGTCTCCAAAACCTAATCTCAGCTAGTCTCCAACTAGTCTCCAACAAGTCTCCAAAACCTAATCTCAGCTAGTCTCCAACAAGTCTCCAAAACCTAATCTCAGCTAGTCTGCAACTAGTCTGCATCTAGTCTGCAACTAGTCTCCAACAAGTCTCCAATTACCTAGTCTCAGCTAGTCGCCAACTGGCCTCCAACAAGTCCCCAAAACCCAATCTCAGCAAGTCTCCAACAAGTCTCTAAAACCCATTCTCAGCTAGTCTCCAACAAGTCTCCAAAACCTAATCTCAGCTAGTTTGCAACTAGTTTCCAACTAGTCTCCAAAAATTTCCAATTACCTAATCTCAGTTAATCTGCAGCTAGTTTGCAACTAGTTTCCAACTAGTCTCAAACAAGTCTCCAATTACCTAGTCTCAGCTAGTCTCCAACTAGCCTCCAACAAGTCTCCAAAACCTAATCTCAGCTAGTCTGCATCTAGTCTCCAACAAGTCTCAGAGGTTTTACATCTTAATTTAACAGTTTTTGTGTTTTAACCCTTTTTCTCCTGAACAATCTTCAAACTTCAGGGATCTGATTCAGGAGATGAAGTTGAAGAACTTTGTGTTAGCTGCTGTCTTGAAGCTCCAGCTTCTTCTTCTCTGTGTGTCTCATGCTGGGTTCTGTTTTGTCTACAGGGCAGGAACTAAATATTCTGTGTCTGTGTTTGGGATGTTTGATGGAGGAGCCAGTTCTCCTCTTGCAGGAGAGGAAAAGACCACCCTGACTGAGGATCCAGAACCTCCTGCTATGGATCCTCCTGGTAAAACTTCCATCTCATCACACAGTGCTGCTGTTTGTTAGTGGACTAGGTCTGCAGACCAGAAACTTCCTGACCCAGATCATTAGAGTTCTGCCAGAACACAGAGCTATCTGAGTTAGCTGCTTGAGTTTTTTCAAGTCTGATCATTTAACACTGAACATAATTTGTTTCAGAGATTTAAACACATGTTCTAACTCAACAATCAGAACCGATCCAAATGAGCCCCTCTTCTGGACCAAGGGCTTCAGAGAGCAGAGATCCAGACCTTTAAGGGTTTTGGCTCTAACATCTCCAGAGGTTCCAGCTGAGCACCGTGTCTGCTTGCCAAATGTTTCTTCAGTCATGAAAAATGAGAGATATCCAGAAAAATGTTGCTTGAAGTTTGAAAAGAGGTGGTTTGTAGTTAAAGCAGTCGGCTGCTGCAGGGATGGAGTTTAGAAAGAGTTCTGCTCTGAAAGTCTGAAGAGGTGCTGTTGATCCAGAACAGGACTTCCTGGTGGACTAAGAAGCAGACACAGTGACCAACTGCCAAATGGGTCGAGGAGTGGGTCAAAACATGTCAGGGAGTATGTCAGGGAACAGTCACAGTGACTGGGTCAGGGAACAGACACAGTGACCAGCTGTTAAATGGGTCAGGGAACAGTCACAGTGACTGGGTCAGGGAACAGACACAGTGACCAGCTGTTAAACGGGTCAGGGAACAGACACAGTGACTGGCTGTTGAATTGGGCAGGGAACAGACACAGTGTCTAGCTGTTAAACAGGTCAGGGAATGGACATGGTAACTGGCTGTTAAACGGGTCAGGGAACAGACACAGTGACTGGCTGTTAAACGGGTCAGGGAACAGACACAGTGTCTAGCTGTTAAACGGGTCAGGGAACAGACACAGTGACTGGCTGTTAAACGGGTCAGGGAACAGACACAGTGACTGGCTGTTAAACGGGTCAGGGAACAGACACAGTGACTGGCTGTTAAACGGGTCAGGGAACAGACACAGTGACTGGCTGTTAAACGGGTCAGGGACCAGACACAGTGACCGTCTGTTAAAGGGAGCGGGTCAGATTGAGTCAAGAGGTTTCACAGTCTAATGATATTTTAATAAAAGATAGGTGAATCTAGGATCCAGAGTTCTGGTCATTCCACATGTGAACTTTGAAAAAAAGCAAAAAAGTAGATTTCATACGTATACATGAGGTAATATAATTGATTTTTTATACTCATAAAATAAAAACTACTCCTAAATATTAAATCGTGAAAATTTTAACTAATAAATCAAATTTTAATTAAAAACTAAAAACTACTGATTCAAACTCCAGGTTATGGGTCTGAAAACCAACAATCCTACAAGTTTCTGCAGGGTCACAGAAACTTTATAGGCGTTGGTTGCAGCAGAGACACAGAATGAGCGCTGGTTCTGGTGGAATTCTGGCAGAATCTGAGTCTTTTGAAGCATATGTTTTAGCAGAGTCATCAGAAATATGTTTGCAGCTGTGCTCACAAAGTTTTAACTGTCCACTGACCGAGCCGTCCCACAGATCAGGACGAGCTGATACTTTTTCCTCTGCAGGAACCTGGAGCAGGACTGTGCGAACCATTTCTGAAGAGGAGAGTCCATCTGCTGGGAGAGACATTAAAAAAAACAAACATCTCTATGTGACCACGGACAGAAAATAATCTGGATTAATGTTACTGATTTCTCTGAGACTGATCTGTCTTCATGTTTCCTTTCACTCTTTTCTCCCACACTGAGAAGTCCAAACAGACTGTTTATCCTCCTGACGTCCTCCTGACGTCCTCCTGACGTCCACCTGTCTCTCTGCAGGCTTTCAATGCAAGACATCTGCCAAGGCTGACATTGTGCTGCTGGTGGACGGCTCCTGGAGCATTGGGCGCATAAACTTCAAAGCCATCCGCAACTTCATTGCCAGCATGGTCAGCGTGTTCGACATTGGTCCGGACAAAGTCCAGATTGGTAATTTTTTCTAATTGATGACTGCTGGTTGAGCCACAGGACGTAGAACTGCTTATATGTTTGTCCATGGGTCTTATTCAAAGATTTGAGACTGATTTGGTCTAAGAAATCTAGTCCACTTTAATCCTAATAGGAGACAGTTTTTATATTCTAAACCCTGACCGAGGTCAGGCTTATCAAATCCAGGATCTAAAATATTCAGCTCAGTCCTGCTAGAGAATTATGACCTAAATTTTCTCCATGAAATGAAGTTACTACTACTACTACTATTAATACTATTATTAGAAGTATTTTATTTACAAAATGCTTTAAAAAAAGAGCACAGCTTGAATAAAGTGCTGGACATATAAAATCAAACATTTCAAACTGTTTTAAAGAATAAAACTAACACTTTCAACATTTTCTTCCTTGTTGCTGAGAAGTAAAGAAAAGTTAAAGAATAAAATCTCGTGAAACAGATCTGAGGTCGGGGCTCAAGTCTCTAATAATTATATGTTTATGTATATATATGTATGTATGTATATATTATCTAATAATGACTTTATTTTTGTTTCCTTCAGGTTTGGCTCAGTACAGTGGAGACCCAAAGACTGAATGGCACCTGAACACCCACCCAACCAAAGCATCTCTGCTCGGGGCTGTCGCCCAACTGCCGTATAAAGGAGGAAACACGATGACAGGTGATGGAACCGCACATTCTGTGGTCTACAGCAGGAAATTCACCAACCCTGCTTGGACCAGGACCCGGATAGTGTTTGTGGGGTCTATAATAGTTTTAAGCTTTGTATTTTGAGCTCAGGTGTGCAGAGGGCCTGTCCAGCAGGACTGGTCAGACTAAGCTATGACTGAGATGGAGACAAGACCATGGTACCAATTTGACATGGTATATAGTACCAACTTGCCAGACTATGACACCAACCAGAAAGACCATGGTACCAGCCTGACTCAGACTATAGTACCAATGTAACATGTTAAATGGTACCAACCCGACAGACCATGGTACCAACCAGACAGACCGTGGTACCAATCTGACATGCTACAAGATTCTAACATGACAGACCATGGTACCAAACAGACAGACCATGGTACTAACCTGACACAGACCATGGTTCTAACCTGAAAGACTATTGTAGCAACCTGACGGACATAGTATAAAGCAGACAGACCATGGTACCAATCTGAAGGACTGTGGTACCAACCAGGCAGACCGTGGTACCAATCTAACATAGTGCAAGGTCCCAGCATGATAGACCATGGTACCAACCAGACAGACCATGGTACCAACCTGAAAGACTATTGTACCAACCTGAAGGACTATGGTACCAACCTGACAGATTATGGTACCAACCTGACGGACCATGGTACAAACCAGAAGAAATGTGGTACCAACCAGACAGACCGTGGTACCAATTTCACATGGTACAAGATTCTAACATGAATACCATACCAACCTGAAAGACTGTGGTACCAACCTGACAGACTATGGTACCAACCTGACGGATCCTGATACAAACCAGAAGAACCATGGTACCAACCAGGCAGACCGTGGTACCAATCTGACATAGTACAAGGTCCCAGCATGATAGACCATGGTACCAACCAGACAGACCATGGTACCAACCTGAAAGACTATTGTACCAACCTGACGGACTAAGGTACCAACCTGACAGACTATGGTACCAGCCTGATGGATTTTGGTACCAAACTAACACAAACTGTGGTACCAACCTGACAGACAATGGTACCAACCTGATAGACTGTGGTACCAACCAGAAAGACTACTGTACCAACCTAACGGACTATAGTACAAAGTAGGCAGACCGTGGTACCAATCTGACATAGCACAAGGTCCCAGCATGATAGACCATGGTACCAACCAGACAGACGATGGTACTAACCTGAAAGACTATTGTACCAGCCTGACGGATCTTGGTACCAACCTAATACAGACTATGGTACCAACCTGACAGACTATACTACCAACCTGAAGGACCATAGTACCAACCTGATAGATGGTGGTACCAACCTGATACAGACTATGGGACCAACCTGATGGATCTTGGTACCAACCTAACACTGACTATGGTACCAACCTGACCAACCTGAAGGACCATGGTACCAACCTAATGAACCGTGATACCAACCTGACTTACTATGGTACCAACCTGACAGACCATGGTACCAGCCTGAACCAGACTATGGTACTAACCTGACACGGATCATAGTACAAACCTGACGGCTCATGGTACTAATCTGACAGACCATGGTATCAACCTGACGGACCATGGTACCAGCCTGACTCAGACGATGGTACCAACCTGAAGGGTCATAGTACCGACCTGACAGACTATTGTACCAACCTGACACAGACTATGGTACCAACCTGAAAGACTTTGGTACCAACCTGACAGACTATGGTACCAACCTGATGGATCTTGGTACCAACCTGACAGATTATGGTACCAACCTGAAATACTATAGTACCAACCTGATGGACCATGGTACCAGCCTGACACAGACTATGGTACTAACCTGACGCAGATCACCCTGACAGACCATGATTCCAACCTGGCAGACTGTAGTACCAATCTGACAGTCCATGGTACCAACCAGGATATTAGACAAATGTTGGTGGCCCTCTTCTTAGTTTAGCATGATCTATTGGCTTGAAGCTGCATCCTGATCAGTTGAGAGAAAAGAATATCGAGAGATGTGAGGGTTCAGACAAGTGTCCCAAGAGAAACCGGCACTGAGAATCTGACAGTTTTATCGCGAAACTAAAGAAGGATTTCCAGATTATCCATAATCCAACCTTGTTCTGACAGATTGTAGAGTGTGGAGGGGTTGAGTTCTAAACATCAACACTGATAAGGATGTTTGGAGTTTACATGTTCTCCCTGTTTATGCAGGAGTATTCTCTGGCTTCCTCCCACAGTCCAGAAACATGCTGGTGAAAATGAGTCAGAACCAGTTCTAGATGACAGAGAACACCAGAGATTTGACCTGAGTTGACATAAAAACACAGAATATTTCCTTAAACCAAACTCTTGACTTTGAACAGGAATGGCTCTGAGCTACATCCTCAAGAACAACTTCAATCGCAACGTTGGAATGCGTGATGACTCCCGCAAAATTGGTGTCCTGATCACTGATGGAAAGTCTCAGGATGAAATTGTGGTCAACTCTCAGAACCTGAGAGACAGCGGGATCGAGCTGTACGCCATTGGTGAGCGGACGCCTCCTCCATGTTTCCACCTCTGGTTTCTGACAGAGATCTGACTCAACGTCTCTTTTCAGGTGTGAAGAACGCCGATGAGAACGAGCTGAGGTCCATCGCCTCCGACCCTGATGAGATCCACATGTACAACGTGGCCGACTTCAGCTTCCTAGTGACCATCGTAGATGACCTTACCGTCAATCTGTGCAACAGTGTCAAGGGTTCAGGTACCAGAAACAGAACCAGAACCAGCAGCGACATACTGCTGAATCCAAAACCGTCAATTCTTTAGACAGAACAGGGCTGAATGCTTAGCTAAAGGTAGTTCATTTAAAGGGATCCATGATTAGTTGTAACATTAGACTTTATTTAATAAACATATATTTTAACTGTAAAATAAAGACTGTAAAAATACTGTAGGATGTTCAGTTTTTATCTTCAGTTTATTTCATGAACGGAGCCATTTTATTTGCACACAAAGCATTCTGGGTAAATGATGACATGGATAGGTCCTCAGTGTGAGTGAGCTATATCCACCCTGAAGGTG